TCTTTAGGAAGCCTGGGTGGCTCAGTCCGTTAAGCTTCTGCCTTCGGCTCAGGTCATGATCCAGGGGTCCTGGGACCAAGCCCCGCATCGGGCTCCCTGCTCATCAGGAAGCCTGCTCCTCCCTCTGCCTCTGCTCCCCCTGCTTGTGCTCTCTCCCTCCCTCTCTCTCTCTCTGACAAATAAATAAATAAAATCTTTAAAAAAAAAAAAAAAAAGACTCTTCTTTAAGAACTTAGCAGAGGCTGCTGGTTAATCCCCAAAATATCCATGCCCCCTTTCTTTATTAGTGGGATCCCTGAATTTTAGCAGGCCACCTGAGCACCAGCATTGCATTTCTCCATCTCCTTTGGCTCTAAGTGTGGCCAAGGGACTAGGTCCAGGACAGTGAGATCCAAGTGTAAGGGGTGTGTGCAGCTTTGAGGGTCGAGTCCTTGAAGGGAAAGACATGCCTCCACTACCTCTCCCCCCATCCGCTGCCTAGACTAGTGCAGTAGTGGGAACTGGAGGGTCATTTTAGAGCATGAGGTAGAGACTTGGTGTTAAGAGTAACAGAGCAGGGGCACCTGGGTGGCTCAGTCCTGTTATGCATCTGACTCTTGATTTCAGCTCCAGTCATGATCTCAGGGTCCTGGGATGAGCCCCGTGTTATGTCAGGCTGTGCGCTCAGTGGGGAGTCTGCTTCTCTCCCTCTGCCCCTCCCCGGGCTCACACCCTCTCTCTCTCTCTCTCTCTCTAAAATAAATAAATCTTTAAAAAAAAAAAAAAAGAGTAGCTGAGCAACAACAGAGAAGGAGCCTGAGTCATGGAGGCATCATATCACCCTCAGATGCTTCCCGGACTTTAACATGAGGGAAGTTAGCTTCTACGTTCTTTAAGCCGCTGTTGTTTGGCCTTTGTTACAGCAACTGGATTTGTATTCCAAATGACACAATTGCCAACATGTTAGAACATGTTAACCATTTGTTTTTAATATCTTAGGGATGATATTCTTTCTAAACATGTTACATTTTTCTAAGCTTATTAAACAGAGCAGACAGAACATAATTTACTCTTTTTTGGAAAGAGTAAATGGGAAAGCATAATTACTATTCTGAACAATAATGCAAAGAGAGTGCCAAGGTCAGTAAGTGGACTCAGGCTGTGGAACTTGGTTCATTTATACCTAATTCCTGCCATTTATCTCACTCCCCTCACTATCAGGGATCAAGTAAGAAAATACACACAAACTGCTTTGGCCCAGAGCCTCAAACACAGAAGTGCTCAATGAATTTTACATATGACTGTTATTGCTGCTATTATTATTATTACTATTACTATTATGTAGAGGGGACAAACAGCTATTTTTAAAACCCAGCACTTTTTTCTTCCTGCTTCAATCATACTCCCAACCATAAAGACACAGAAGCTGGAAATCCCACTGTTCGGTGACATTATAATCAGCTGCATGTACAGAACAGAAGCTACAGTTTCTCCTTGATATAGACTCTCTCTCTTTATCTCTTTAAAACAACCTTAATGGTCTTTTTAGTCATGAAATATAAGGAAAATCTATCTGTTGACCTTGTGTTGTCTCTGAACTAAACCAATAGCAGATGCTTCAAACTGAGATGTAAATTCAGTTCCATAATGAAGAAGGCTGTTTCCATGTCAGTCAGCGTATGGCTCTTCAGAGAAAATATGATGTGAAGAGGTTTTTGCTTCCTTCGACTGGGTGACAAGGGGGCGTAAGGCCATCAAATGATGTTCTTACAGCAGTGAGCATGCCCCAGCAATGTGGCTGCAGGCCTGGGCCAAGAGACATGCGCAGATGGCCCCCCCCCGGGGGGGGGGGTGCGGCATGACCTATGAACTCTGGGGCGCTGACATCTGACTACCAGTTGAATTCTTCCTTTTCTGCCTGTAATTCACTCATATTATTCTCAAGACCCAGAGAAGGGGTTAAATATTACAGCCTGTGTTAGCTGTGCCTGGGTCTTAAACAGAGAGGCGTGTGCCCATACTTGGACCAGAGAGAGTTTCCACATGTGCTTGACACAGAGGTGATTGGCAGTGCAGTTTGGGAGAGCACCAGGCAAGAAGTGACAAATGGCAACCTGCAAAGACCTTGACACAGTCAGCACAACCAGGCATCCTCAGAATCTCCTGGAAAAGAGCCTTCCGAAGATTCAAACACTGATTATTTTGTTATGACAATATTGTTAGCATAAATATATCATAATGATGCTATTGACATAACAATTGTTATTATTTTATAATATTGATCAGATTCTATATTATTAATAAAATACCATTTAATTATAACAAAAATTCTTATTATGTTTATTCTGTGTCCAGAATGTGTGTGCGTTCTTCTTTCCCAAAATATCTTCCGCTTCAAATCAGAGGCCATTATATTGCTATAATTGAGCTTGTAAGAAATGTACCTATGATAAAGGTAAATAGACTCTGAAGGAGGGCTTGGAAATGTTTTCTTAGTAGTAAAATAGAAGATCTTTAAGGGCAGACCAAGTAATATCTTATTTCGCTTGCTCAGGATTTCTTTTTTAACAACTTCTGCCTCCCTAACTGTATCTCAGATAGTTAACATTGCCAAATTTTAGTGGCCATTTGGTAAATGAAATGAAATTGTACAGTTTCCTTGCTGGCTCCCCCACAATTAAAACCTTTTCGTTAATGGTAAAATGGGGCTTCTGGGTCTCAGAAATTGTCAGAATAAAACTGGAGAGACCTAAGAGTTGCCAAATTCATTTTGCCAAGTAAGGACATTTTTAAAAATTACCAAATCCTGACAACATGCAACATTTAATAAAACACTTTTTAAAATTCCCAAGTCGTGACAACGTACGACACTTAAATAAAATAAATTTTAACACCAAAACAGTAGGAAGTTTCAGGGGCTCCTGGGTGGCTCAGTCCTTAAGGGCCTGCCTTTGGCTCAGGTCATGATTCCAAGGTCCTGGGATGGAGCCCTGCATCGGGCTTCCTGCTCAGCAGAGAGTCTGCTTCTCCCTCTCCCACTCCCCCCGCTCGTGTTCCTGCTCTCGCTGTCTCTCTCTGTCAAATAAATAAAATCTTTAAAAAAAAAAAATAGTAGGAGGTTTCAGAATAAAGGAGGATCCTTTGGGTGGAATCATTGTAGCTTTATGAAGATTTTCACATGGTTCTTATTTTTCCTGCATCACCACGAGGGAGTCAGCACTTCCAGCAGAAGGCACCTGGTTTGGAGTCATTCCCGAACACCAAACCCACGGTCTGGGGAGCTGTCTGGGAGCTGCTGGTCTGAGATAATTCCCACACATTTCCCCAAATACGTGGAAGGTGGACTCGAGGAAGAGCTGGGGCCTGTTGTCCCTGTGAGGTATGGGCACAAGACCTGCCTGCCATGTTGTAGGACCCGGATTGTCAGCTAACCACCCCAAAAGCTTTCTTCCTGCCCCGAGGTGTCTCTATGTGTTAGGAGCCCTGAAAACTGCCCCTTTTAGGACACAGGACAATTGCCAAGTTGGGCTCATTCCATGGACTGAATTTCCATTTTTCCTGGCCCTAGAAATGCTGTGTCTGTCGGTAATTTTCATGCTTGGGCCACAGCTCCCAGGGGAGTAGGAGAAAGGCCAACTAGGAGAGAGGGGTTTTCAGCGTGTTTCCTCAGATCCTGGATTTGCTCCCTGGCTCTATCAACTCTCTGTTGATAGAAGGCTGCCCTGCTCCAGCCTTCCAGACCCAACTCCCGCACCTCAGCAATGGCACAGGTAGCCAAGCTGGGAAGACCCGCCCCGTGCCCGCTTCAGAGACACAATCTGAAGCTGACCGAAGCTGATGTGCCCATGAGAAAAAGGAGTCTCTCTTTGTTAGAAAAATAAGCAGTGACAGAAGATTCTACTTCAGGAGATGGCTGAGTAAAAGCTCCTTTTACTAAAGCCCGTGACCCCCAAATAACTTGGAGTCACCTTCCCCCCACCTACCAGTTTTATTTTCCAGCAGTTGGAGGAACTGCAGAGAACCAAAAGGATAAAGGTTGAATTCATTACCAATTCTTCCGGAAGCTTAGTCTTCCTGCTGACCTGAAATAATTTCCATACATTTTCCTAAATATATGGGAGTTAATTGCCAATTTGCATTTTGGTTTGAGTATTCAGATCTCAAGATGGAAACATAAGCTCTTTATTTCAAGAAAAATAAATGAAGGAAAACTTCTGAAGCTCATTTTCTAATGCCCAAAAGGCTCGTGAAGAACAAACTCAATAGTCTCTCTTTTCTAGTAGCCTCTTCAAAAACCTCTGGGAGGAGAAGCTCTCCCTCCTTCGGTTCAGATTGCCTTATGTGATTGCAATTACATCCGAGAATTTCTTTTCCACCCCCCACCACTCCAAACTGTTAAGTCTTCAAAGGGTCACGGGATTTTAATTCTGCCTGATAGGCCTCCTTGGAGCCAAACTTGAGGTCAGCACTTCTTATAAGCAGGAAACTATGAATTAACACCCCGAATTTTCGTGATGAGTCCCCTTGTTGGGGCTCTGTTTGGGAAAGCGCTCCTGTGTCCTTTGCCACGAGCCTGCACACATTATTAATTCAGATGTCTCAGGAACATCATCTGCTTCTACTAAAACCAACGACGAAGGAGTTCTGGAGAGTGGCTTTGAGCGCCGCCCTAAGAGGCCCGGTTAGGGGAAAACGCGGTGTCTGAAACACTAATTTAGATGCGAGGCTTAATAACGTGTGTTTAGCTATGACCCTAAAATCTGCTCGCCTTACAACTTTCCCCATCTGGTGCAATTTGCTTTCTCTGCTTGTAAAAATGCACACGACAGGGGCCGCATGCATTGTGTGCCGGGGGAACAACGAGGCCCTGTCCGTGACGCGCTTGCCTGAGAGAAACCTCGTGCCCGGCAGGTCGGGCCCCAGCTGTCAGCCCTTCCCTCACAGCGGGCAGGGGCCTTCCGCCCGAGCACGCGTGGCCCAGCCCAGCGTCACCGTGGAGAGAGAAGATGATGGAGCCGTACCTTGTACCCAGGCTTCCGCCCTCTTTTCTTTGGAATCTTCACTGCTGGCAAAGAGCCAGCTGAAGCGGAATAAAGGTTATGAACCGCCATCTTCATAGGTGTTGAGTGAAGCGGGGGTCGGCCTCGCTTTCTCCCCGGGATCCTCTGAGACTGCATGTCTGCTGGTGCCAGTCTTACGGAAGGAAGTGACCAATCGCTCACAGGCAGAAGAGGAGCTAAGAATTAGTCCAGACACAAAGCAAAACAAAAACAGAAGGGTTTGTTTGGTTTGCGAGGCAAACATGTATCCAGTTTGCTGGTTTTGGCCACCCCTAATCCTTTATCGGAGGGGAAGACCAGATAGGAGAGAGCCAGGCACCACAGTGCTGTCGGGCTCCTGGTAGAATTTCCAGGAGAACAAATTTCCTCAGGGCTATGATGAAGTAGGGGCGATCCTGGCTAGGGGAGGAGAACATCGATTCCTAGCTCCAAACACAAGCAACAAGGCGGCTTCATCAGTGTGTGTCTCAGTTTCCCCAGGTAGTTTAACTGTGAGGTGCTACAGTAATAGTATTAAGTAAATACAACCCTCCTCTCACATCCACTCCTGTCCCTTTGGTTGGGTTATAAATGGGTCTGACCTTTAGTTTTCCTGTGAAAGAAATTTGACAATACAAATGAATTGTATTAAAGTTATGTCCCTTGGGGTGCCTGGGTGGCTCAGTCGTTAGGTGTCTGCCTTCGGCTCAGGTCATGGTCCCGGGGTCCTGGGATCGAGCCCCGCATTGGGCTCACTGCTCGGCGGGAAGCCTGCTTCTCCCTCTCCCACTCCCCCTGCTTGTGTTCCCTCTCTCACTGTGTCTCTCTCTGTCAAATAAATAAAATCTTAAAAAATAAAATGGATAGAGCCCAAATAACAAGCAATAAGGGACTAGTTCATATATCTACAGAATAAAACAGTCCACCGGTTAAAGCCTTTAACAAAACTATTTCAATAACAGGAGGTTGAGTGAAAAAGCATCTCATAAATTGCACATAAAAATCATCGCCGCTCTGCAAAAATTTATGTGGTGAAAAAGTGAAAGGAGACATGCTAAAATACCACCGATGGCAAAGATGGTGGGACTGTGGGTAATTGTTCACTATGGACACATCCTTTCCCCCATGCAGATACCCCACATACGATAATATTCGTAGCATTAAAAATACTAATAACAAGCTCCTTCAGGTAGAGTTGCCTAAATCTTGCAGCAAGAGGTAGTTGATCGACTCCAACCCAGAGAACACAGTGGTATCATGAGCTCAGGGGTCAGATTTCCTTGAATGTTCAGGACTGTGACAGGTGGGACAGAACATTAGACTGTAATGCAGGAGGGATGTTCAATGATAAAATGTATGTCTGAGCCTTAGCGGTAGCCAACAGTGGAAATGAGAAGGTTTTGCTCAAAAGGCTGCAGAAAGAATCGGGAAAGGTGATGGAAGCCGTCTCTACAGTCTCTACCCTTTGGTCTGGGCAACACTGCAGGAACCACATTGCTTTGCTCAGGAAGGAAAATATCAAATAGTGGATATTTGGTATCTGAAAACATGACCGGAGAAATTGGGGCATCTTTTACAAATGTCAGTTCACTTTGTTAATTCTTTGAATTAGTAGCAGTATTCTTTCCATAATCTTGATTGCTCTTGGAAATATCACACCTAGTACATAGAATTTTAAAGCATAAATTTATTGTTATATATTTCAGGTAGCTAGACAAGCTGTTGTGGATGTCAGTTTTCCCTGTTTTTGTATAAGAAAAATACCACATCTCATTGATTCTAAGATGCATGTTTTATCACTCATTAACATCTCTGAAATCACAACGCACCCTAAAGCACCATAAGCACATCAGAATTCCATAAGGAGCATTTTTTTCTTTCTTAGGGTACATGAAACAGTGAGGTGTGCTATTATCAAAGGCATCTTACAGTCAGTGAATCATGATCAATGAAGAGAAATCCATCAAGATATGAACAAAGCTACGTTCCTTTTCTAGACTTGGTGTTAGGACTCCACAGTGCCAACAAATACCCCAAACACTCATTTTCAAAAAAGAGGCTTCACAAAACATCGAAAACCCACCAAAATTCATTCAGTAACATTTTTGCTGTGCAGAACTTGATCCGAGTCCCATTCTGAACTCTCATGATCAAGTTCTGGCTTCTGCATTATTGGTTATCTTTACATATATTTGGGGAACAGACTTTTTCTAGTCTAGTACCTGTTTTTCTACCTTTCTACTTTGCTTCTAGTGAGGAGGTCAGCAACGTATCTAACATTAAGATCAAAAGTCAGTCAGAGAACACCCAGGACCTGACAAGGCATTGAATCTCTTTGTTCCTGCAGGTGAAGGTTTATTCAGCTGCAGTCCTTCCCTGGTGAATTGTGCTTCTCTGCTATTTTAGATTCTCCCTCACAAACATCTTCTTGTTGAATAGGTTTGGGGGAGTAAAGAAAGGGTAACAAATTAATTAGCATATTATCTTAGGAATTTATGTCACTCAAAATTATACTGAACTATCCCCAAATTTCTCAGTACGTTAGAAAAAAAATATTTCCTAGAAAAACAGTCATCTTTTTTTTAATTTTTTTTTATTTATTTGAGAGAGAGCAAGAGAGTGAGCGAGCACAAGGGGTGGGGAGGAGCAGAAGGAGAAGCAGCCTCCCCGCCGAGCACAGAGCCCAACACGGGGCTAGATCCCAGGACCCCGAGACCGCGACCTGAGCCAAAGTCAGATGCTTAACTGACTGAGCCACTTAGGCACCCCGAAAAATAGTCATCTTTTAAACTGGGCTTTTCTGTTGTTCTACTTCTCTTTCTCTACTGTGAGGGGAAAAACAGAACTTGTGCCACTTTCTATGTCCTCACTTCTGTGAAAGTACATCTATCTTAGGGCATGAAGGGCCTTTCCTGAAAAGTAAATCTGATTAATGGATTTCATGCTAGTGGAGCAGCAATGAACCATTATTGGAGGCATACAGAGCTCCACAGTAATTGGGGAGACACTTGGAGATAGGTCATCCACTGATCAAGAAGATGCGATTTTCACATCAATACAATTTTAATACACAAGTAAATGCGATGTTAAGTAATAAGACAGAGACTTTTAAAAACTGAAGAGGGTATTTTAATTATGGGGATTCTCTGAAAGTCTCCTTGGAATAATTTTCAAGATTTGGGGGAAAATGCTTACAAAGTGGTTTTAATAACAGACCCAGACACTTTGGAAATGTGTGACAAATTGTGACAAAAGCTCAGGGTCCCCAAAAATCTCCCTTTCCAAAAGTAAGACATGAACCTCCAAAAAAAAGTAAACACAGCAAAGATTAATACTGAAAATAAGGAAGGGTCCCAATCTTGGAATGCAGTGGAAATAAGACAGACGGGATTTTTTTAGGGAGAATATAACCATGGAAGATAGACAATGACAATTTATCCGATGTTTAATGAAAAGATTAAAACTAATAGTAAAGGAAAATATTCAAAGATATATAAGAGGCTGTCTTCCATAATGAAAAGGTTCTCTGCGTCTTAAGAAAAGTTCTTTAAGAATGTACAACAGCAAGAAATCCTAATGAAAATGATACACCCAAAAGAAAAAAGGAAAAAAATCTCTAAGCACTTCGGCAGAACAAATAGATCATTTATAATGGGAAAAATAAACAAGCTAGCTCTCGATAGCACCATTAGCCAGAAAAATAATGGAGTCAGCAGAGTGACCTTTTTTTCCAGGTGTTTATAATTGCCACAATTCCTCCCACCACAGGGTCTTTGCATATATAGTTCCCTTTGCCCAGAATGCTCTCTTTCTTCTCCCTTGGTTTACTGCTCTCATTCTTCATCAGTTAGGTCACAGAAGCTTGTCCTGACCTCTCATTTGAATTCCTGAGCCTAGAGTTCCTCAGCTGTGACACTAACCCGCTGCATATACAGCATCCACCATGGAACCTGGACAAGGGAAGCAGGTGGGAACATGAAGACAACACCACCTGCTGTGCCTCTGGTCTAGGAGCCCCTTCCTCCCACCGTGTCCATGACATGGTAGTAGGCTGACTTATTTGCTTGCAGAGATTAAAACTGCAGACCCTTCACAGTTCTTCATGAAATTCAATAAGAAGTAGGACTTACATGAAGAAAATAATATTTTAAAAAATTCTACTTATGCCCTAAAATAAGATTCAAATAAATAAAAAAGATTATTCTGTTATTAGGCAGACGGATACTTCTAAAATATAATTGTCACCTAAATCATTCTATAAATTAAGTACAATCACATTAAAAATCTGAACGGACTTTAGGAAATGAAGGACAAAACAAAGGCCCATTGCTGGGTGAGGGGGGGCGGGGAGGAGAAACTTGTTCTCCCGGTTTCTAAAATGTATTATAAAACTCTAACAATGGCAGCAGTATGGTACAGAGATAAGCAATCAGATCGATGGAAAAGTTAGTCCAGAAATTAAACATATATTAAATTTCCATTTGTTTGAAATCTAAGATCATGTGTCATATCAGTACAGGAAAGCTCAATAAATGAGTTGTGGAAAACAGACACTTAGAAATAAGTAAAATTTCAGCTGTATTTGAGCAAAATTAATTCTAGAGATATCTAAGACTAAAATATACCTTTAAAAAAAAACAAGAAGTACTGAAGACAATCAGGGTCAACATTTATTTATTTATTCATTTATGATTTTATTTATTTTATTTGACAGAGAGAGAGAGAGCACAAGCAGGGGTAGTGGCAGGCAGAGGGAGAAGCAGGCTCCCCAAGGAGCAGGGAGCCCAATGTAGGGCTCGATCCCAGGACCCTGGGATCATGACCTGAGCCAAAGGCAGTTGCCCAACCAACTGAGCCACCCAGGCGCCCTATTTATTTATTTTTAAAGATTTTATTTATTTATTTGAGACAGAGAGTGGGGTGGCAGCGGCAGAAGGAGAAGCAGGCTCCCCGCTGAGCAGGGAGCCCATCTCGGGGTTCGATCCCAGGACCCTGGGATCGTGACCTGAGCTAAAGGTAGATGTTTAACTGAGCCACCCAGGCACCCCTATTTACTTATTTATTAAAAAGATTTTATTTATTTATTTGTTTGTTTGTTTGTTTGAGAGAGAGTAAGAGGAGGGGCAGAGGGAGAGGGACAAGCGGACTCTGCACTGAGCATGGAGCCTGATCCCACGACCCTGAGCTCATGACCTGA